AGACTTTTAATGTTTCAAATGACTTTCATGGACCATTATGGACCCTCAAGATTGCTCCTGGAAAGTTTCAAGTCTTGGATCACAAAATTGCTCAGTCAATTGATCAAGTGGTTCAAAATCTACTGTATTGGTTAAAAAGTCAAGTGTGGTCCACCTACACTCAAACTTCAAGATTTTGGACCAATATCAACATTTTGAGGTTATATGCATCATTTGATCAAGATTGGATCATAATTATCCAAGAAAATTGTTCAAATCGTCAAAAGGACAAAATGGTTAAAATTAGGGTTTTAACTGAGAATGACCAATCTTTGACTTTTGACCCAGTACATGACTTATTGGTCTGAAACATGATCTCAAGGATTCAAGTACATCATTTTAACCTAATCGCATATTTCAATTCATCTCCTGAGATCAGTGGATTGATAGATGAAATTTGGCCAACTGATGAAAAGTCAACTGTATACTGAAAAGTCAAATTTTGACTTTTTGATCAAATTTGAGTTTCAAATATCACATTTCATCAAGATATTCAAAATATGAAATTTGATCATCAAGAAATCAAGAAAGTCAAAAATCAAACTTTGCAAGACTTGAAAATTTGTTCTAAGTGTTTTCTATACATGTTAATTTCATTACTTCATGACATCTTTTCACCATAATTCAAGAAAATTCAAGTTGTTACAAGCTTTCAAGTAAGCAACAAGGCTGCATTTTTAAGTTAAAAATTACAATTTACAAATCCTAAACTTTGTCTTGTTTGAACTTTTTCCTTTGACTCAATCTTCAAACTTTGCTATTATGCTATCCACAAATATGTCTTGCCTTTGTTACAAGCTGTAGAAATCTATCCACAAAACCAGACTTTTATCATGCTACAAATGTTGTTGTCCAGAAAAGCCCCAAAATCATATATGCTGCCAAGTCCAAGCCTACTGCTACTAGCCCAAAACCATGTTAAAAAATAGTCTGTTGTCCTGTACAAAGCCATCCCTGCACCAAGCTGCCACTCCACTCCAAAACTGCTACAAAACAGCCCTACTATGTTGCCTCTAACCCTGTTCAAACCTGCACTATATGAGTCCCATATTTGCACAAAATTAGAACATAAGAGTTGCATCCAAAAAGCAATGAATCAGTATACCCAAACAGTTACAAAAAACTTATCTATTTCCCTCCCAAATTACAATCAACTTCATCTATAAATAAGCAGTTTCACAACACACAAAGGGTGAGTATTTTGGAGAGAAAAGAGGGAAGAGAAAAAAATAGAATTCTTTATAAACTCTGCTCATTCATAACAAAAATTATGCTCATCTTCAACTCTATTTTCATTCACAAAACAGAAAAAAAAACCTCAACCCACTCTACAACCTTGCAAGCTTTCCCCTAAACCAACTATCCAAACATCTCATATACATCACATAGAGATTGTTCAAACACAAGAATAATTTTTATAACACCATTATCATCACCTTCCAAACACAAAAAAAAAATAGTATTTTGCAACTTGACCGAGTGAGAGCGATTCTGGAACTTTGCGGCACAGAGCAAGGATTGGAGCAACTTCAAGAAGGAGCTCGATCAATCGTCACTTCGTGCCCGGAGACATCCGTACGTGTTTCAAAGTTTTCTCTCCAAGAGGTATACTTCTTTCCAAACTGTAATATCTTTATCCATACATCATTTGCTTTTTGTGTTCAAATATATATAAAAAAGACAGAGCAAAAGAAGAAAACTCCGCAAAAAGCCAAGACAGGGAACTAACACGGGTGCCCGTGTCACAGGACACGGCCCGTGTCAGCTCATCTGTTTGAAAATCTAACAAAAAATACAAGACAGGGTGCCCGTGTCACAGGACACGGCTCGTATTAGGCCAGACACCAAAAATATTATTTTTTTAATACTTTTTTGCTATTTATTTTCATTCAATATGGTTGTAATAGTAAAATTAGATTTTATTTGCTTTTATCTCCCCATTTGTAAACTTGAACCCCCATCCCCTAAAATGATGTAATAGCGTATGATTTTAATTTCCACAATTTACCGCTTTAATATAATTGTTAGTAATTAGAGTGTGTATGGCAAGATAAAATCAATCATAGAGAACCCTAATCTCAAAGACAAAAATGCATGCAATTAAACACTTTTTCACACGCGCACCTTTAGGTTAACCTCACTTGTTGCCTTGAAAAAGAATAGTCATGTCCCTCGAATGTGGGACACTTTAGCAAAGATCCTCGATAAAAAAGATCTTAGTCCCTCGATGACCCTTCGACGTTGCCTTCGGTAAAACGATCTTAGTCCCTTACGAAAATTACTAAAGCATCTCATAGGTTGCATTCTATGACTATACGATGATCCACGCCCATCCCTTCACATCTAATAATAGGGCTTCTTATCAATCAATGGTAAGATAACAACATCTAAAGGAGGAGGAAAAAAACTAAGACCCTTTTGAATAGGTAGAACGTTCATAGTTACTTGCTCACAACATTTTCAAAACAACATCTTTCAAAATACACCAACACTTTCAAAACGAAATATTTTCAAAAGTCAATGCTTTGTATACATTCTTATAGAGACGAGAATCATTACAAAGTTCACCTAAACGAAGGCCCTTTTCAAAAATACTTTCAAAACCAATCACAAACACATTTCAAACAAAGCATTTCAAAGTGAGCTAGCAACTAAGAACCCGTAGATAACTACAGATGAAAAGGGTGCTAACACCTTCCCTTTTCATAACCTACCCTCTGAACTCAAGAAAATATCTCAAAAGGTCTTTCCTGTTCTTTTCACCATTTCCTTTATTGGATAAAAGAAAAGTCGGTGGCCACTCTTGCTATCCGTAACAATTGTGATCAAACGCAAAACACCAAAGTCAGTTCTCCCACCGTATTACAATATTATTATATGGTGTTTGTATTTTAAATGAAAATACAAAAAATAAAGATTAGTTGTCTAGAAGGATTTATGAAAATAAGCTGAAAAAACTTTATGAACAATGTCATAAGTAGTTTTCATTAGTTCTCTCAAATAAATAACATCACAAAATATATGTTAATAGGTAAACTTGAATAAGTCAATGCAAATAAACATCTAGTCTAATTAATTTTTAATTTGTTAGTCTATCTTAACACTAGTGAATAGCTTATTTGAAAATGTTCAAATAAAATAAGCTTTTATGTAGACTAATAAGTCAATCAGGCATTCGAAAAGGCCAAACTTAAGCCTAAAAACAAACATTTGATGGATCACATGTCAGACTTAGGCTTTGAAATCTTTAGTAGGCCAGACCCAGGCTTGACTAAGCTTAACTTGACCCAATCTATTTTCATATTAAAAAGGAAATTAAATTTAAAATAAATTTAAAATTATCCTCTAAAAATGACAAGTACACATTCTTGTTTTTCTTATTCAAATGTTTCTTACTATATAGCATTATTCAATAAATATAAGTTATTTATTGGTTGTAAATAAAAAACTAGACAGTTTCTTTTTCCACTCTATTACCTTCTCCCAGATCCCTGATAAAATGTTAAAAATGTCCCATATTTTTGGAGATACATCTCCAAACGCACCTATTTCCCACAAAATTTCTATTATACTTAATTTCGGAGATACATATCCAGATAAACTTTATTTTTTATAGAAAAAGTATTTCGGATATGCATAACCGAAAAATTTCGTGTTGTGTTTTGTTTTAACTTAGTATTGAATGTATCCGGATAGACAGACCTAGTAGCCATGCATCAACAATGCAACAAATATGTAACCACGAGCAATTTCTCTATTAAGAAAAACAATTGGAAAATAGAAAAATATTAAAATAAAAATTAAAAATACAACTAAAAATCAAATAAAATTAAATTAAGTATCTATAAAAATTTTCAGATTTTTTCTAAAAATATGAAAACAGAAAATAAATTAAATAAAATAGAAAAAAAAGGAATTTAGAGTTTTTTATGATGAAATGACACGATAAAATTTTGATTCAGACAATTTTTGAGAAAATCGAGTTTTTTACGCTACGTCACGTAAATGCGAGAAACACAAGAACACAATGACTAGAACGCAAGGATACAATTCCTATGATTCTAATATTAGTTAAAATTGACAAAGAGTCTCCAGAAATGATGCTAATTTCAATGAAAAACGTACAGTAAATAGAGTAATATATGTTTTCAGATATACATCTCCGAATTTATTTTAGAAATTTTTAAAGATATATCTCCGAACTAATTTTTAGTAAAAACAAATTGAAAGTAGGTTGGAAAATATATTAAAAAAATTTCCGAAGACATTTTTTAGATTTTTAAGGATATGAAAGAAGTTAACACGTGAAAAAGAAATAGTCAAAAATGATTTTACAGAGGTGTAGCACCTATTTTCTCTAATGGGATTAAGGATGAAAAATGGTTTTATTTTGGTAAAAGATTCTTGAACCGTGGGTGGGAGATACCATATAATTAGCGTCCGTTCTTGTCTTAATCTCGAAATAAAAAGAAAATGAAAAAAAATAGAGTAACCTAAGGTGAGTATCGCGTTCTCTTGTTCGTCTCTTTCCGTCTTATCCCCATAATCTCTATCACACATTTTCGTTTTCATCGATTCCTCTCTCTCGTACTACACCCCTTCACCTTCATCTTTCTTCTCCGCTCTTTCTCCCATTCACCGTGTTTTGTTCCTTTCCCCGAGATTAGGGTTACCCACTCACCACAAAAATGCTTCATATACTACATGTTAGGTGAACTACTTGCTTTTCGCTTTTTCAATTTTTTAAATTCTGTTTTAAATTTTAATAATTGCTACAATTTGTTTGGTTATTATCATGTTGTTTAGTTGCACTGATTGACACAAGTGCTTGAGAAACAAAAATGTATATGTTTGTTTTAAGGATAACTGTAAGTGTATCTTTGGCTTGCTGTTATTAGATTGTGATTTTAGTTTGTGTATCAAGTTATGAACTTTTCCTTTGTGATGTTGCAGTAGGTAGGATGAAAGGTTTTAGAGATTGGGTTTTGTCACAAATAGTTTCCAAATCGTTGGTATCCCCTACACCGTTATCAGGCGGTAATGGTTTCTATACGGAAGAGCGTTTGAATGAAGATCTTAATGAGCAAGGTACAACTTTATATATGTGTATGTATAAGTTAGGTGTTTTGGGACTGTGAGTTCTGATGTGAATGTGACCCATTATCAGTCGAATTGGATTTAATGTTGTGCATTTTCAATTTTAGTTAGTTTAATGTTGAAATCTAAAGGTTAGTTTTTGCATATATCTATGTGTTAGTATATTTTAGCATTTTAGGTAGGATCCTACTACAATCAGTGTTACGATCTTTCATGTTACAATCTCTCACCACCATCCAATTCTAAGTAGAGTCTTGCTGTTGTTAACGTTGGTTATAGGGATGCAAAACTCCCGATAAAAAATGTGTTTGTTTGAAGGCATGCAAAACTCCACATAAAAAATGTGTTTGTTTGAAGGCATGCAAAACTATTCCCAGGAAGTTGAGCTTGGGGGATGTAACACTCCCCTTGTTTGGTACAATTTCTGGAACGATATTTATAGGTATTATCAGTTCCTAGTAATGTATTTTTAGAGAACCTATGTTTTTCCTTTACTTCCCATGGGAATAGAAGTTATTCCAAAACTTACCCAGTTATAGCTTCTAACTTCCACCTTATTCCACCACATATTTTCTATTTTCTATTCATACATGTTCCTTTTTTTTTATGCTCAGCTTCCACATCTAATAGTGTAACATTGCCGATTCCATCTGGCACATCAAACTCTTCTGCCAATCAGAGTAATCAGAGTAGTTCCACACTGCAGCAAGCTTCAGATGCAGAAATTTCTCAATCTCAAGAGAGTGGTAATGGAGGACAGAAGGATACTTTGGCAAAGGTTGAGGATCTCCAAGTTAAATTTTTCCGCCTGCTCCAGCGCCTCAACCAGTCAAAAGAAAACCTTTTGGTCACAAAGGTTCTTTATCGGATGCACCTGGCAACTTTGATTCGTACTGAAGAATTGGATCTGAAAAGAGTTAACCTTAGTAGCAGTCGAGCCCGAGCAATAGCAAATCAACATGAGGCGGCTGGGATGCCCCAATTGGAGTTCTCCTGCAGAATACTCGTCCTTGGTAAAACAGGAGTTGGTAAAAGTGCTACCATAAACTCTATATTTGGTCAAGAAAAAGCCACGACAAATGCTTTTCAACCTGCTACTGATTGCATCCAAGAAATTGTGGGAACTGTAAACGGGCTTAACATAACGTTTATTGACACCCCTGGTTTCCTGCCTTCCTCTACCAATAATGTGAAGAGAAATAAGAGGATCATGCTGTCTGTGAAGAGATTCATTAGAAAATCCCCTCCAGACATCGTTTTATATTTTGAACGGCTTGATCATATCAATTCTGGTTATAGTGACCTCCCACTTTTGAAACTCATAACCGAAGTATTTGGTGCAGCAATCTGGTTCAACACCATTCTAGTCATGACTCATTCTTCCTCAGCTATTCCAGAAGGACTTGAGGGATATACTGTCAATTATGATTCATATATATCTCAATGTACTAACCTAATACAGCAGTATATACAACAGGCGATGTTAGATTCAAGGCTTGAAAACCCTGCTCTTTTGGTTGAGAACCATCCTCAGTGCCCAATAAATATTACGGGGGAGAAAATTCTTCCTAATGGACAGGTTTGGAGATCTCAACTCTTGTTATTTTGCATTTGTACGAAAGTTCTGGGCGATGTAAACTCCCTCCTTAAGTTTCAGAATGGCGTAGAACTAGGACCAGCAAATAGTACCCAAGTTGCTTCTCTTCCCCATCTCCTTTCGTCCCTGTTACGACATCGCCCTGTATCTAGTCAAAGTGGAATTGATGATGAAGTGGAGGCAATTTTACTTTCAGACAAGGAAGAAGGAGATGAGTATGATCAACTTCCATCCATACGAATATTGACAAAATTCCAGTTTGAAAAGTTGTCCAAGGCACAGAAAGAAGATTATCTGGATGAATTGGAATACAGGGAGACCCTTTACTTAAAGAAACAAATGAAAGAAGAGTATCGTAGGCGCAAGGATAAGTTGATCTTAGAAGAACAAGAGTTTTTAAATAGTAACAATTCTGATGATCAACAGGCTCCTCCCGAACCTGTTCAGTTACCAGATATGGCTGTTCCTCTAAGTTTTGATTCAGATTGTGCGATACATAGATATCGCTGCCTTGTTGATAGTGACCAGTGGCTTGTGAGACCTGTTCTTGATCCCCAAGGATGGGATCACGATGTGGGTTTTGATGGTATAAACTTGGAGATATCTACTGAAATAAAGAGGAATGTATCCGGCACGGTGGTGGGACAAATGCATAAGAACAAGCAGGATTTCAATATTCAATCTGAGTGTGCTGCAACTTATGTTAATCCGTTGGGTCCTACTTATTCTATCGGCGTTGATGTTCAATCTGCTGGTAAAGATATGGTTTATACCGTTCATACTGACACAAAATTGAAAAACATAAAACACAATATTGCTGATTGTGGCGTTTCTTTGACATCTTTCGGAAAGAAATACTACGTGGGTGCAAAAGTTGAGGACACTTTGCTAATTGGAAAGAGATTAAAATTTGTCGTTAATGCTGGACGTATGGAAGGTCAAGGACAAGTGGCGTATGGTGGAAGTTTTGAAACTTGTTTACGCGGTGAAGATTATCCCGTAAGAAATGACAATTTAAGCCTGACAATGACAGTCCTCTCCTTCAATAAAGAAACGGTGTTGAGTGGAAGTTTGCAATCTGAGCTCAGGCTGAGTCGAAGCTTGAAAGCAACTGCTAGTGCTAATCTAAATAGTCGCAAAATGGGTCAGATATGTATAAAGATGAGTAGTTCTGAGCATTTACAAATTGCATTGGTCGCAGTTTTCTCAATTTTGAAGGTTCTGTTATCTAAAAAGAAGATTTAGTACAATTTTGAAGAAGGTAATGGAAAGATGATTAGGTTCTGTTTGATAGGAAAAAAGTGAAAAGTGGTGAAGCATTTCTGCAGGAAAGGATTGATATGGACCATTTTCCCTTTCTGAGGGAAAACGAAATTAGAATTGGATTTTTTTGAGGAGTTAGTTATTTATTTTTTGCTATACCTCAGATTCCAGTTTTTTGAAGACTCTTTAGGTAAGGCTGGCATCTTGAACCTGTAATCTATTGTTGTTCAATAATCAGTATTTGGGTGTTTCCACTATTATAGATGTTCATTTGTAGTAAATAAAGTCATAACTGTACATTAAAGCATAGAAAAACTGTTTTATTTTTCTGTGATTTGTTCAAATAAGTCAGTACATGAATATGAATTTCTCGGTTCAATAGGAGCTATTGCAGCGATGTCGTTTTAATTTGATGTTTTGCATTTACGATGTTCCAATATGCTGGATTTGAATTATTTGTGGTGCCTATCATCACTATCATCATATGATACTCCATTCCCATACTTACATATAGAAAAAATCATCGTATCTGAGTCCATATCTGTTTGGGCATCAACTTTAACACCCGTGTGTTGAAATCAGTTTTAAATTATGAGTCGTCCTCTTAATTTTTATTCTAAGGAAGGGAATATAAAGGAATAACTCTAAAGAGTTCAGAGATTCTAGATCGTTGACTCGGTTCTAGACGAGGGGAAGGTGTTAGACACCTCTCATCTATCTTGTTCACAAGAATATTAGATTTAGAAGCGCGGTTTTTAGAAAATAGGATTTTAATATTTATAGGGGAAAAGGGGTTTAATTTTAATAGGGGAACTCGCTACGATTTTAATCGTTTGTCTACGTATCCTCTTAGGAGGAATCAAAGTCTCATTTTGTAGTTCGCGATTTTGTTTGTGTTTTTTTATAGATTGTAGAAATACCTCGAATTCTCCTTGAACCAAGTCCGAGTTTGTAAATTGTGGAATCGTGGACGTAGCTTGCAGTCGATACAAAATATCAATATAACCCTTTTTGAAAATAAATATAAATTTGATTATATTAGTAAAAAAATTGATTTGAGGTTGGTTAGTTGTATTAAGACGTAGAGCGAAGGAGTCTGATATAGTCTCCTCATCACGTGGCCAAGTTGTATTAAGACGTAAAGCGAAAGAGTCTGATATAGTCTCCTCATCACGTGGCCAGATATTGGCCACGTGTCGCTCGCGGATGCAATAATTTGGTGAGCTGCGCGAGTTTTAATATTTTGATGTAAAACATTAAATTAACTTATATTGTGAAAAATATTTTTAAGTGCATGATTAAAAGAACAATTTAATGCAATAATAATAAAAAATATTTTTTATGAGTTAAAAATAATTAACTTGATAATAGCAAATAAATATAAAATAATTATAATTATAATAAAATAATAAAAAAATTAAATTAAAACGCAGGGGGTGTAAAATTAACTGACATAGTAAAAAGGTGGGGTGTGAATAGACTGGGTCAGAATTCAGATATTGAATTCAGGTCCAAAAAAGGCTTGGAGATATGTTTTTTAAGTGTTAGTAAAAACAAAAAGAAAAGGGGGGGGGGGGGGGGGGGGGGGGGGGGGGGGGGGGGGGGGAGGGGGTTGAGAGTAGCTAATGGGCATGGCCCAAAGCGCTTAGAGAGGGGGTTTGCTAGGATTGCGTGTGAGCGAATGCATGAGTGCTTACAGTAGAAATGTGTTTTGGGTGATTTGATTGGGATCAAACGGATATGAGCGGGGGGGGGGGGGGGGGGGGGGGGGGGGTGTTGAGAGTAGCTAATGGGCATGGCCCAAAGCGCTTAGAGAGGGGGTTTGCTAGGATTGCGTGTGAGCGAATGCATGAGTGCTTACAGTAGAAATGCGTTTTGGGTGATTTGATTGGGATCAAACGGATATGAGCGAGGGAGTATGATAATAACTATGAAGGAGCGCGTACGAGATCAGTAATTGTATTATATTTCATTTTACAAAACAAAAATTCATTTGTTAAATTATTCTCTCTCCGTCTTTCGCTTGCCTTCTCTTCTTTCTCTCTGAACGTCTCTAGCCTCTCATCTTTCTCCATACACCACAAACCCTAATTTGACCTCCTACGGCGGCGGCGCTGCCTCTCAATCTCTCGTCATGTGCATGCTTCTCTTCTCTTTAAGCCCTAAAAGTCCAACACTCGACGGCGTACAACGACGACCCAACAACAAACCTAAACCCCAAACCTACAAAAAACACAACGAGAAAGAAAACCCTGAAGCTAAGCGTCTTACCGCCAATCGTATTCATTTTGCATTAACTTCTGATGAGGGTTTTTTCTGATCTCTCTCTTCTGTTTGTTTTGCAGGTAAGGGTGATAAAGGTGGTGCGGTGGATGGTAGCGACGAAAAAGGGTTTCAGATGATGGTGACGACGAGGAGGCTTGAAGCTGCGTAATAGAGCTTCTCCGTCTCTGTTGTTTTTGTTCTGTAACTTGTTTTAGGTTTCTGTAATCACCCTCCCCCTCCCCCATTCGTCACTATTCTTAGCTTAGGTTTATATAAGAATTTTTAAGTTAATAGTTTTAGGAAATTGATTTAATGTCTTGATTATTTTGATTTTGATTTAGAAAGAATATTGATGTTTATTTCTGAATTAAGGAAATATTTTGATTTCGTTGATTAAGTTTCTGTAAATATTTTGCCTTGTATCTGCATTCTTGATTGGTAATAAAAACCAGAATTTGATTCTTGTTTGATCTAAACAGTAACGACTATTGAGCCTTAATCATGCATTTTCCTTTCTCTGATCTGCACAGTGTGTGTTTACACATTTTTGGGCCATTCACTTTGTTTTAGGCTTTGCTTTGTAATGACTTTTGGGCCATGTGTTCTTCTTGATTGTACAATTGGGCCTTCTGTCTCTTAGTCAGACGTTTTTTCCTTCAAATCAACATAATAGATATAATTTCAATAATAATAATAATGTTAATAATAATATAATAATACTAATAATAATAATCAGTTATAATAATAGTAATAATAATTAATAAAAGTGATCAAAAACAAAATAGCAATGTTAATAACGATAATAATGATGTTATATTTTAAAACAAAAAAATTCTCAAAACAGAAAAAAATTGACCGGGCTGGGCCATATCATTTAAACTTATTAGGCTTTAACATAGAAATAAATTTCTTTAAACACCCCCTCTCTTCAATATAAAAGAAATTCACACGGGACCTTTCTAATTTATATTGGGCCTCTAACAAAAAGAAACAAATTGCTTTTATACACTCTTTTTCAAATACTCCAAAACCTAAATGGGTCTTATTGCTAAAACAAATTGTTCACAACCCCTTGATTAAATAATACACCTCCCTTGAAATGAACCCCTTTTCTAAAACTCAAATGGGCTAAAAAAAAGATGGTCCATTTTGTATCAAAACAAACCCTTTTTGATTTTAAATACTCTCATAGAAATAAAACCTATATAGTACGATTTATTTAAAAAAGAAACCTAAGTGTAATATAAGGGTAGGGCAAATTTGGGGTATGGTAGTTGCCCCTATTTAATCACTTTTCAATTGAATGGTGCGAGAATGTGCATGTCTCGCACGTTCGAATCAGAGGGTTATTAAATAATGGAAGATCCCAAAATTTGATCAAAGATTTATTAAACAAAGATACACTGACATAACATACCCCAGAGCTCAAAGAAATAGACAGGGAATGATGATGTATCCTCTTACCAGCGTTTGAACCGAAGTTTTGATTAGAACTTAGACACGCCGTCATGAATAACTCGTCAGTATCTAAGAGATTGCAGATTCTTTTGCATATTTAAAAAATACAAGTTTTGAAATAATTGACTTACTAATGCTTGGAGACTAATATAGTAAGTTTTGATTTGATTTTGTTTATTCATCGCAACCTAAGGGATAGATAAAACAAAGTTGGATGACACAATACTGCATGGAGACTGATGCAAAGAGATATATCGCAAGAAAATTGATAACAACATTGCTGCATAAAGACTGATGCAATGAGTTAAATCGAGGAAGAAATTCTGATGGTGATATTGCTGCCTGGAGACTGACGCACAGGATTATACCGTGGAAAAAGTTTAATGAAAACAGTGTGGCATAGAGATTGATGCAATAGACAGTTTGGTAAAAACATTGATGCATGGAGACCAACACAATGGAAGGAAACTTGATAACATCGTTGTATAGAGACTGATGCAATGAAGGGAGTTTGATAACATCGCTGCACGGAGATTGGCGCAATGAGCTACATCAAGGAAGAAGCTTGATAATGACATTGTTGCATGGAGATTGATGCAAATGGATTATGTCGTAAAAGAAAGTTTGATAATAACATTGCCGCATGAAGACTGATGCAATGGATTATATTGCGAATTTCACACATTGATGCATGGAGCCTGACACAATGAGCTATATCGCAAAGGAGGAAACACATTGTTGCATGGAGACTGACGTAATGGGTTATATTATAGATTTTGCACATTGCTGCATAGAGACTGGCAGAATGAGTGGAGATGCTGATTTCGCAACATTGCTGCCTGGAGTCTGACACAATGAGCTAGATCGCGAAGAAAGAACATATTACTGCATGGAGACTGACACAATAAGTTAAATTATAGATTTCACACATTGTCGCATAGAGACTGACACAATGAGTGGAATTGCTGATTTCGTGACATTGCTGCCTCGAGTCTGACACAATGGGTTGAATCGCAAAGAAAGAACATATTGTTGCGTGGAGACTGACACAATAAGTTAAATATAGAAAATTTTACACATTGTCGCATAGAGAGTGACACAATGGATGGAATTGCTGATTTCGCAACATTGTTTCCTAGAGTATGACACAACGAGCTAGATCGCAAAGAAAGAACATATTGTTGTGTGGAGACTGACACAATAAATTAAATATGCAAATTTCACACATTGTCGCATAGAGACCGATACAATGGATGGAA